TGTTTGCTGCTGTAAATCGTTGTTTGCTTACCATCCAGACCTGTTAATGTTTCTGTTTCCTTAAGGTATTTGCTTACACAATGGGGACTGCTGTTTTAGGATCACCAGACCTGTTAATGTTTCTGTTGTAAATCACCATACCTGTTAATACATAGCTGCTGTTTTAGTTTTTACCTTGCTTTTGTAGGATATTGTTTTACACAATGGGGACTGTTAATATTTGCTTACCTGTTAATATTTGTTGCTACCATAGCTGCTGTTTGCCATTTTTGGGTTCTCATTTTTTGTTCTGAAATTACATAGCTGCTTTTGTGTTTGCGGCTGTTGTTGATTGAGCAATTGTTTAATACATAGCTCGAATGTTCGTTATAGGTATGGAACAAACGGGTGAAACCTAACAACAAAAAAGGGTTAGGATTAGTTGGAAGGATCCCAACATTGTCAAAACCTTTTTAGAAAGTTGTATTCTAGAGGTTGGGTTAAATGGAAAAGAGGGTGCTAGCTTGAAGGCACTTTCGTGGAAAAAAGTTGCCGATACTTTGAAAAGCACACATAATTTTGTGGTCGATCGAAAGCAAATGCGGAACCATTTTGACTACTTGAAAGGAAAATATGGTGCTTGGTTGAAATTAAAAAACAAAACCGGCAACGTTTATGACCCTTCAACAAACACGTTTAACTTGACCCCCGAGGAATGGGACTTGGAGATAGAGGTCGTTTTCTAACTTTAGATCTTGTTTTATCTCGATTTTTTTTATTTTGTTTGTATATTTATATATGTTTCTTTAACACAGACCAATAGGTATGTCGAATCATTGAGGACTACAAGTCTTCCATATCCCGACCTGTGTGCTCGATTATTTGAGGGTGGTATGTCCACGGGTATTGGAGGCCATGGATCGTCGTCAAAAGACCCTTTGCCAACTACCGAGCCTTTTGTTGTCATTGAGGAAGAGATCAACATCTCAAGTGATCAAGCTCCTGTGTCTTCAACACCCGTTTCATCCCGTGCTCCGGTTCAGAAACAGAAGCGTAAAAAGACTATGGCAACGACTTCGGAGCTTGATGAAAAGCTTATACAAATTTTAGATACTATGGCATCGAAATATGGGAACCCTGAACTTTTTAGTTATGAGTCATGCCTAAAAAAATTGAACGAGCTTGGGTGGGCAAAAGATGATCTGTTGTACCGTATTGCCTTTTCACTTCTTACGGACAACCGTAACAGAGAAGCTTGGATGACAATACCGTCTGAAATTGCAAGAGAATGGGTGAGGACAGTTGGGGCAAAGCAAGGATATCAGTAAAGATTGGTGCCACGTTTTTAGAACTTTTGTGAAGTACAACATTTTTAGAACTTTTGTGTGCTAAGTTGTGAGTTTTTTTGGATGACAATTTGGTGCCACATTTTGTTGGACATATGATGTTTTTTGGATTTATGATATGTATGTGGCTATTGATTTATGATAAATGTTGGTTTTGGATTTATAACATATAATGTTTTGTTTGGATTTATAATGCCTTTTTATTTGAATAGATATGTTGACTTTTGAGAAAGAAATGATGATCGTAGTCCTAATATATATATATATATATATATATATATATGTAAAACGGCGAAGAAATGTTTTGGAAAGAATAGAAAGAATGCCTGATAATACTTCTGCACTGAGCGGATATGCGTACACCCAAGAGCTATTAACYGGACCTAGTACGCAATGTCAAGAGTTGATGCGCCTCTCACGTGAAGCGTATATACTGTTATGCAATCATTTTAGACAAAGAAATTGGGTGAAAGATAGTAGACATGTTAGTGTAGAAGAGAAAATGGCAATGTTTTTGACGATGATCGGCCATAACGAGCGTTACATAGTGATTAAACGTAGATTTCAACGCTCCACAAGAACTGTTCATGTTTGTTTCCATGAAGTTTTACTGGGCATGATGGAATTCGCAAGAGAAATAGTGGTGCCAACAACTTCTGATACAACTTCAAATACGTCGAGTCATCAAAGACGTTTGAGAGAAATATTTCCGGTAAGACTTATTATTGATGTTTTAAAGTTTTATATAAACACACACACACACATATAATGTATTTAATCTTTTTTTCTATTAATGAAGGGTGCAATAGGTGCTCTAGAAGGTACCCTTATACATGCAATTGTGCCAGCTAGTCATCAAACTGCTTACAGGGGAAGAGGAGGCGGTCGATGCTATCAAAATGTTCTAGGAATTTGTGATTTCAACATGATATTCACTTTTGTTTGGGTTGGATGGGAAGGTATAGCGCATGATTCTAGAATACTTAGGGAAGTTGCTTTTAATCCAAGATCCGGTTTTCCCTTTCCACCACAAGGTATAAACCATTCTCAATTTGTTATTTGTTTTTTTTATTTGTATATTATATGATTGATGTGGGTGGTTTTTCAGATAAATATTATCTTTGTGATGCTGCGTACGCCAATGCTCGTGGATTTTTGGCTCCATATCGTAACACAAGGTATTGGTTGGCAGATTTTCGACGTCGACGTGCTTTGACTAAAAGAAGAAAGGTTTAATCATGCACATGCCCAACTCAGAAATGTTATTGAACGTGCTTACGGTGT